ATTAATTCAAAATTGATTAAAAATCTGTATATAGGATCTAATACCATAAATTGCTTGAAATAAAATATAGGGGGCACAATTGTAGACACTTACCATAAAGATATAATAGAGGATTCAACCTCAGAGGAAACAAAAGCAAACAAACAATTGAACTGTATCAAGTTAAAAGCTTTTGTAATGCAAAAGAAACCATATAAAAATCAATCTACAGAAAAAAAGTGAAAAAAAAAGTTTGCTCATGGATCTGACAAGGGTCTATCGATCTGCAAAATCTATGAAGTTCTTACACAATCCATCAAAACAAAGAAAAAAAAAAACAATAAAATGAGCAAAGGTTCAAAAATATTTTTCTTAAGACATTCAGATGACCTACAAGCATGAAAGACTGTTCAGTTTCACTTATAAGAGACATGGAAATCAAAACTACATTGAGACACTTTATAAAACATATAAAAATAATAGCTTATATAAAAAAAGAATGATTTCACATATTTGAAATCAAAACTACATTGAGACACTTTAGGAATAGCTTATATATGTATAAAAATAATGGAATCAAATGTTTGTGAGGTTGCAATGAACAGGGACACTCATCTACAGTTGATGGAAATGGGCTTCATTGCAACCCCATATAAAATGGTATAGATTTTTCTTAAGAAAATATAAATATAAATTTCATATGACCAGACAATACCCCTGAATGTATTTATCCAACTGATATGAAAACTCTACTACGAAAGAATTTATCTACACCTAAGTATATTAGCACAGCTATCTACAGTTGCTACATAGTGAAATCAATCTAAGTGTCCCAAACATATGCACATTTGGGAGAGCAAAGCAATCTCCCAAAATTAAAATTAAAGAAAAATGAAGATTTCCTAGAAAAGGGCAAAATAAAGATAATGATTAATAAATGGAATAATTGGGCCCTCCCTGGTGGCGCAGCAGGTTAAAGCACAGCACTAAGAAACTAAAGCCACTTCAGCATGAGTTTGATCCCTGTCCCGGAGCTGACCCACATGGTGCAGCAAACCTCTCCTGACCCGCCTGCTGCTCCCCTCAGCAGTGTATTTCGTTAGTCAGCCTGTTCTGCTCCCCACTCTATCCCTGGTGAATCCTCTCACCTCCCCTGCACCTCTGGCCTGTAGCCCAGTTCTGTATGCATAACTAAACAAATCTTAAAAAAAAAATGGGGAATGTGGCTAGGCGTGAAATCACAGTAATTTTTTTATGCAGTATTTTTTTTGATCGAAATACAGAAAGTTGAATAAATCACTGACTGTCTCTTCAGCAGTGCCTGAAACTGAAAGTGGATACAAGATGGCTAGAAAATTTCATCGAGGATAGTCCTTAAATTACAATGTCAACTCAAGCTTTTCCTTTTAATAATAAGCCAGATTATTTTCTTCCCTGACAGCTGAAAACTCAATGCAGTAAGGATGGCTGCTTTATTCAATATCTGAATGTTGTCATCCCTTTAAGGAAGGTAATAAAGCTTGTGGTAAGGTCTAGGTTTGGCCTATTTAAGGTTAGCCTAGTTTTTTGGCCTGTAAAAGTACCTATTTTAAATTCATGGACCTTAAATTTCTCAAATACAAACAATGATATAAACCAACATTACCGCAATTTAAATAAATAAACAATGATATAAACCAACATTCCCGCAATTTAAATCATGTTTAATTTTATGTTTTCCATGACCAGGTCTTTAAGGACATGATTTAGTGCACTTAATATGGTTAGCTGTATGATAACAATGTTAATGTGAAATGCTAAGTAATTAATTTCCATCATTGTCATCTGTGACCAAATTTATATTTACCATCCTCTCAGGATCTAAATATCATTTTCCTCTAACCTTAAGGAAAAAAAAAAAAACAAAAAAAAAATCTAATACACTCACAGCTGGCTAGCTACCCCCACTGCCACTAAAGGTATGTGTGTGTACCTGTGTGTATGTGTGTTTTGAGCTTCCTCTTGTGTGCCTAAAATATATTTGGGAAAAGCAACTATTTCTTTTCATCAATTAAACAATCCCAAATGTTGGGGTGGCTGAAAGGGATGATAGGCAGATCACAGAGAATGTGTAAGATAGTTAAAATTCTCTATAATGTAGTAATAGTAGGTACATGTAGTTACACATGAATCCAAACCCATGGAATGAATTTAGATTATCACAAATGAATTTTAAAGTATAGTGGATTCTGGGTAATAATGACATTAGTGTTGGTTCTCATATGAAAATATACTGCTCTAGGGTGCCATTTTTTCAGTGAGGAAGGATGTGTATGTCGAAAGGAGGTCTGTGGTAAGTCCCTGTACTATTCCTTCAATTTTACTGTGAACCTAAAATTGCTCTACAAGATTATTTAAAAAAATAAAAATATCAGGCACTTCCTGGTGGTGCATCGTGTAAAAAAGTACAGCACTGTGAAACTGGATGTAGCATATTCTGTGCAAGATTGATCCCTGCCCCAGAGGTGATTCATATGGCGCAGCAAACCTGTCTTGCCTACTGCTCCCCTCAGCAGTGTATTTCGTCTGTCTGCCTAGTCTGCCCCTTACTCTGAGTCTGGTGAATCCTCTTACCCCGCCCCTGCACTTCTTGCTGTACCTCAGTTCTGTACATCTTAATATGTGTGTGTGTGCGTATATACATACATATACATGCATATACATATGCATGTATATGTATATATATATTCTATATATTTATATAAAACAATCAGCAGTTGTAAATAAGGCATGCCATTTTATTGTATCCTAGTCATTTTGATTATTAACGATGTATTCTGAGCTGTTTATTATGTCAGATTTGTTAAGTGGGAAATTATGCGGTTAATTACATAGGTACTAGCCTAATTTTGTAGACTGTGGTTCTATTAATATATAATTTTTAGAGCCCATTTAGTGCTATTTTGTTCTGTATCTTACGGGCTTCCATTTTTCCCATGGGTGCTATATGAGGAGCTGGAAGGAGCTTTCCTGGATTGAGTCTGTGTTGCCAGTAAGTGTGTGTGTGTGTGCACGCAAATATATATTCACATACATACATACATGTGCATACATCCACGGCCAGGTATTGTGTGTACACACACACATATGTATGTACACATACATGGACATACATATATGTATGCATATGTGTGTATACAGAGGCACATATACATATGTAAATATATAAATTAATAACTTGTCTTTGGCTAAGACCATTTAACAAATCCTTTGGTGGTGAGTGTGATGATGTAATATATATCTAAGAGGTTTGAACCTGTATCTCTCAATTATATACAGTGCTTAAGTCTACATTCCTTTGATAAACAATAATATACTTAAAATAAGTAAGCAAAAAATTAAAATATGTTCTTTCTGCCTGCAGGTATATTAGTTCTCCTTATTTTTTCTACCTTTCAGAGTTCTGCTTTGGTTGTCTCTTGATTTTTTTGGTGGGGGGATGGGTTGAGGTTTACAAGCGTTAAAAGTAGCAGAGAAAAATATATCTTGTCTCAACAGAACCAGTTATTTCTAAATCATCTAAATCAGCCTATATTTTACATATTTGAGGTTGATCTTTTTGCTGCATCATATACAAAGTTATATTCTCATGTTTATTAACTATTACTTTACTATTCTCAATTACTTTCCTAAGGTGTTATTTTAAAATTATAAATATATTTATATATTTTCTAGGTATAATATTTGAATGTAATATTTTCTAGGGATAATATGTGAATATAATTAACATATTATTTACATATTATATAACTATATATATTGTTACGAATAACTCCCCAGTTTCTTGACTCCATTTGATAATGCTAATATGTACCTTGAATAATTTTGGATAATTTACTTTAATAAAACTTTATTTAATGATTCTGTTATTTGAAGTGCTTGAGTGTTGATAAGACTCTCCCACATTATTCCAAGATTTTAGGAAAAATAATAATGTGTACAATGATTCCATAGGAAAATAATAACTTTATTTTTCATTACAGTGTTAGAGTGAATTAGAACACTTTTTAAATTTGTGTTAACTGTAAACATCCCTCAATGTATGTCCTTCAGAAGGCACATAATATATTTTCCATAAGTTGGTAATTTAGGTAGATTCCAATAAATTGTACTGAGTCAAAAATGTGTTCACATCATTGCATGTGCTTTAGGGGTTCATGGATCAAACTTTTATAAATAAATGTTGTCACATCATGTCCAACAACATTGACTCAAAAATCTTCCACTTGGGGCCCTCTCCCTACCCTAGTTTTACCCCACCATCCTCCTCTTCTGGTTGCCTCAGTTTTGCATCTGGATTTCACAGATTTATTATGGGTTTGGTTTGTCTAACTTCATTTTATTTTCCTATATTTGACAATTAAGTGAGACCATTCAGTATTTGTCCTTCTCTTTCTGACTTATTTCATTTGGCATTATAGTCTCCAGTTGTATCCATGCTGTTACAAATGTCAAAAGTTCATCTTGTTTATAGCTTATAGTAGTGTTCCATTGTGTGTGTGTGTGTGTGTGTGTGTGTGTGTGTGTGTGTATGTACCACATTATTCCTCTCCATGTCTCAACAGATACTTTAAAATTAATCATTTCAGTGGCTGGTACTACACCCTTCTGAAGGATTTTTAAATCCTCATATTTGACTTCTATGCACCAAACAATCAAGTAAACCTCAATAAATGTGATTGGAAGACAATAACATGTGAATCTACAGAGGACCATGGAATGGTGGGAATTGGAAGAACATTGATGACTGTTACTGCAGTGTTAGAGAATTTACTGCCTGTGTATTTCATAAACATGCCTAACCATTGGGGAAAAATGAGAGGTGGCACAGACAATCATTTCAAGATTTTTCTATGTGTGTGTATAAATAAGTATATATATATATATATATATTTTATATAGGGAACAATAAGATAACTGAAGACATGTATATAGTGTTTGTGTATTTGTGAATATACTGATAATGTGAATTTTTATTTTAGGTTCAGGTTCTTCGGAATGCTGGTGAAGAAGTAACCCTAACAGTCTCATTTTTAAAACGAGCACCTGCTTTCCTCAAACTTCCACTGAATGAAGACTGTGCATGTAAGCATTTATGAAGAATAGGTAAAATGCTCACTTCATCATATTTACTTTCAAAACCATTATTTCTTAACAAAATTGCTAATTTCTTTATAAAGTTGGCATTTCTTCCTGAATACAAACATATTTTTTCATATTACTAAGAATTCCTTTAACCCTTATGAATAGGAAACATGTTACTTTTATTTCAGGATTTATTCACCACATTTGCAATTATATTCTAGACTATAACTAGAGAAGTAAAATGATTTTTTTTTCATAACACTTGATAATCATATTTTCTCTAACTACAAAATGGTAAACTCTTACTTATCTACTAGATTTTATAAACAAGCCTTTAGGTTAAAATTGTTTCAGTATGAACAAATTGAAAGAAACAATGATGTATATGGAAATAAATTTTATATTTTATATTACATATAAATGCACATATGTAATAAAATTTATATCTACTTAAATTTAAATGTCAAATTGTTTACTATACAACTAAATGTATATAATATTTTAGTTAAAACTGAAGAATATATTTTTAAACGTGGATATCGCTTGTATGCATTGAATTACAAAGGTCTTAAACGAACAGTTGGATTAGTTGTAATGAATGCACCCATTTGCTTATCTTATCCACTCATTTTTTAAAATTTTTGTTCATTTTTTAAAATTGAGGTAATATTGTTACCTCAATTTGTATTGTATTGATTTATAATACTGCATGTGATTTCAGAGAATAGTTTTATACCTCCTCAGATATACATTACCACACTATATCCATCATCAAAGCACCTGTATTCCTTTACATTAAATACCCGTTGGACCTCACCCCATCTTTCCCACTTTCCCCTCTACTAGCTTCAGTTTTGCCACCTTAATCTAGGATTTGTTTTGTTCGTCATTTGTGTTTGTTTGTTTTTCTGTATAGCATATAATTGAAAACAAATGGTAAGTATTTTTCTTTCTCCTTCTGACTTATTTCACTAAGGATAAGCCCATTCATTTCTACCATGTTGTTGCAGGTAGAGAGTTTTTGTTTTTGCCTTTTTTTTATTTTTTTTTATTATTGAGTAGTGTTCCATCATGTATATATAACACATGTTAATCTGTTGTTCTTTCATTGAAATTTAGATTGATTCTATAATGTAGCTATTGTAAGTAGTACTGAAATGAAAATAAGAATGAATATATCCTTTTGAATCTATGTGTTTGCTTTTTTCAGGAAGATATCTAGGAATGGAATTGCTGGATCATATGGCAGATCTATTTTGAATATTTTGAGAAATCTTAATATTTTTTCCAGTAGGGGCTAAACCAGTGTAGCTCCCCACTAACATTGTATGGATTCCTTCTTTTAGACATCCTAACATTTGTTGTTTTGGCCTATTTTTGATCAATGCTTTGACATAGGCATTAGATGGTATCTCTGATATCTCATCGTGGTGTTGACACTCATTTCTCTGGGATAAGCAATAGTGAATACTTTTACGTGGACTGCTGGCTATCTGTATTCCTTCTAATAAAAATAACCTACTTAACACTTCTGCCCATTTTTGATTGAGTTATTTTGTTTTTGTAGAATTATGTTATTTCTATATCTTGGGTATTAGTTTTTTGTTGAATGTATCATGTGAAAATCTTTGATTCAGTATAGTGTCTTCTTAAAGCAGACAAGAATTTCACACACAAGCATAAAGAAAATTAAAAAAAAAGCTACAAATTAATATTCCTGATGAACCCAAATATAAAAATCTTCAACAAAATCTTAACAAACCAAATTCAACAGTATATTTAAAAGAACACATATAATGACTAAGTGAGATCTTGTTCAGGGATGCAAGGATGGCTCCACATATGCAAATCGATGTAAATCACCATATAAAGAAGAGACAAAACTTATAAGATCATGCCAATGGATGAAAAGAAATAGTTGACATCCACTTTCACCAATACTGTTCAATATGGTATTAGAAGTCTAGCTAGAGAAATCAGACAAGAGCGACAAACAGGAATCCACAGCCCTTTTAATCAAAGACATACCTCTGTGTGTCCTTCAAATATATGGCATACCCAGAAATTACAGTCAATTTATTTTATTTTTATATAAACACACACATATACACATATATGCACAATTATATGCACATATTATATTCTATGTGAGCATGATATATTTTGAAACCTTTTTTTTTTTTTTAAAGATTTATTTATTTGTGCATACAGAACTGGGGTACAGGCCAGAGGCTCAGGGGCGGCGAGAGGCTTCACCAGAGAGAGCAGGGAACAGAACAGGCAGATTGACTAAGTACACTGCTGAAGGGAGCAGGGGGCGGGTCAGGAGAGGTCTGCCACTCCATGTGGTCACCTCCGGGGCAGGCGGGAATCGAACTCATGTGGAAGCGGCTTTAGATTCTCAGTGCTGTGCTTTAACCCGCTGCGCCACCAGGGAGGGCCTGTTTTGAAACCTTTAATAAAATCATTCTAGGGGAAAAATCAGATACTTCAAGGATTTCACTTGCATTTCTCAAATACATTAAAGATACTTTATACACACACAAATAATATACATCATTATGCATGTTGCATATATTATATATGCATATCTATAAATCTGTTGTTAATAGACAACCCAGTTTTTCAATTGTACTATTATAATTAAGCTTCAATTATCTTGATGATGAGGCTTTGGAATTCTTATAATTCATACAATTATACGTATATATTATATATAATATATAGCATATGTTTTATATATAGAGAGATGAGTAGAGATAGATAGATAGATAGATAGATAGATAGATAGATAGATAGATAGATAGATAGATAGATAGATAGATAGATGATAGATAGATAGATAGATAGATAGATAGATAGATAGATAGATAGATAGATGATAGATAGATAGATAGATAGATAGATGATAGATAGATAGATAGATAGAGACTAGGAGTGGGACTATTGAGTCATTATAGGACGGATGTATAAGTTTGTTAACAAACTGCTAAATACTTTTCAAATTAGCATATATTTAAAACCTGTCAGTATCTGCTCTAATGTTATGGATAGCTCTGGTTGTTCTATATTTAATACTTGTGAGGCAAAACTACTTTAGCCATTTGTTAAGTATATAGTAGAATTTGAAGGTTGTTTTAATTTGCATTTCGCTGAAAATTAATGCTGATTAGCCCATATCATATGCTATTTGCTTATATTGTCGGTTATTTGCATATTTTATTTTGTAACATGTGAATACAGTGCCAGATTTTATAAAGTATTCTATATAAAAGTCTTTTTTAGCTCTCAGTTGAGGGTAAATATACTTTTTAATTTTATAGTGTTATGTTTGCAGAAGTTTTAGTTCTGACAAAATGAAATGCTATCGTATCATTATTGTTTTTCTTGGATATGTTATATGTGCTTTTATCTATATTTTCTGTAAGAAACATATCCTCTTCCCCAAGGTTGCAAAGCTATTCATTTACAATTTTTCTAGAAATTTCAGAGCACTGAATTTTGTATTTAGGTTCTAAACCTTCGTGTGTCTATTACATTTTCATGTTTAAAGTAGGCATGAACTTAGGAATAACTTCTTCATTTCTGTTATGTTGTGCAGCTTTTCACCAAACCCCACTATGGACTAATGTGTTACTATGATGTCCATAATTTTTTTTTCTATATTCTTTGTATTACTATACATAATTTTGTAGCAGCATGTTGATTTCTATTTAAAACATGGTAATGTTTGATTGAGACTAAATCAAATTTATAGACAAATTGGTGAGTTAACACTAATAACTTTAACTCTCACTTTATATACATAATATATTTTGTTTTTTCTCAGCACTTAATATTTTTAGTAAGGATGTTTTGTTCATAGTTCACTACATTAATTAATAATAACTTTACATTTTTCTATTAATGTGTAAATGGTATTGTACAACCCAACTATTTGTCTTTTAAACATGAAGTCATGTATACATTGCCATATGCTGCAACAGCATTTAATTTCCTTATTTTTTTCTGATAGGAATTTTATACATTCCTCCTATTTTCTACATAGAAAATTGTTTCATCCATAAATAGGAGTTTTGCTTTTTTTTCAATATTAATTTCCACAATTTCATTTTCTTGTCTATTTCAAAGCTACAAGCTACAAAAAAAAAAAAAATGTTGTGAAATACAGAAGGTGGACATCCTTCTTTTGCTCAGGATATTAGAGGACACAATTCTAATCTTTTATCATTAAGTATGACATTAACTTTCTCTCAAGTACATTTTTATTTAATTTTTTGCTATTCTAACTTTATTCTGTTGACAATTACAGCTTTTATTTCTAACATAAACACCACATGGCTGTGAAGTATGTTTTATTGAATATAGTTGACTTAAATTGGCTAATTTATACTTATCCTTTTATATATATATTTTTTAATTTATGCATATAGGAATCACAGTATAGGCCAGAGGTGTGAGGGGTGAGAGAATTCATCAAAGACAGAGTGGGGAGCAGAACAGGCAGATATACTGAAATAAACTGCTGAGGGGAGCAGCATGTGGGACAGGAGAGGTCTGCCACACCATATGAGTCACTTCCCTGGCTGGGGATCGAACTCGTACTTGCAGTGGCTACAGATCACTTCATAATTCTGTGCTTTAACCACTTTTGCCACCAGTAAGGGCCCTAAATTTATTCTTTAAGCTTTTTGAAAATCTCTGTTCACTAGGGATAAGCATAAACTTTTCTTACAGTGTTTTTGTGGGATTTTTGTACCAGGATTATTATGACTTCATAGAGAGTGTTGAGTAATTTGTAGAAGAATGAATTTTCTTGTTCTTTAATGTTCATCACAGTGACAATATGAGATTAGAAATACAGTAATTGTTTTATATGAGTTACTATCTTGAATGCATAGAGGGCTTTTTTTTTGATATTTTCTGTTTTATAAGCTGTTTTATATTTTTCAGTATTTTTGCACATTAAGCTCTTTTGCCAGTTGATTTGCAAGTACTTACACATTTCATCACTTCTTTATACTATCTGTTGTTTTTCAGTAATGCCTCCTCCATCACTCCTATATTAGTATGTTGTGATTCTCTCTCTTTTCTCTTATTTTCCTGTTATTTTATTAATCCTTCCAATGAGCCCATTTTTGTCTTGGTTAATATCATTTTTTTCCCCACTACTCTACAATTGTATTTATTTATTTTTTTTTACTCTAGCTTATTTTTTTTTTCATTTATAACTCCTTAAGATGTAAGTTGGACCAGTGGATTTTCATCTAACTCATCTTTGTTCTACATATAAATTTATGGGTTTTTTATGATTTATTTGTTCATACAGAACTGGGGTACAGGCCAGAGGTGCAAGGGCAGTGAGAGGATTCACTATAATCAGAGTGGGGGGCAGAACAGGCAGATTGACTAAGTATACTGCTTGGGGAACAGCGAGCAAGACAGGAGAGGTCTGGTGTGCCATATGGATCACCTCCAGGGTGGGGATCAGACTGGCATAAAGCTGCTGCAACTAGCTTCACAGTGCTGCACTTTAACAGGCTGTGTCACCAGGGAGGACCCTATATATGTAAACTGTTAAAACTAATTCACATAGTAATATAGATGAACTTATGTATTTTCATTTCTTTCAGTTCAAAATACACATATTTTGAATTAGTATGTTTATCAAAATAGTGTCTCCTGAGAAGGATATGATGAAGATACATGTCAAAAGATAAAGTAACTAAAGAAAACTATGAAATTTAAAAATTAAACAATGGAAAACGTTATGGGTACTCTATACACAGCATCAAGAAATTTACTGAATTTTACAGTAACAAAATAAAAGAACAAATATATTTATTTTTGAGATTATGAGTGAATGTAATAATGTCAATGCACTCAGCTAATTAAATTTAAGTAAAGTAGTCAAATAAAATTTGGGAATCAAAAGTACTAATGACACATTTCTTAATAGTGGGAACACCATAAGAAATAATGCATTTATAAATAACTAAAAGTATCAGCTATATACACACACACACACATGTGTGTTTGTGTTTATAAACACCTTGCCTCTAAAAATTAGCAAATGGTAAAATCTCAGAAAATAAAAAAATCTGAAAGATAAACATTGCTGATCTCTAAAAAATATTTACCAGAATTTATTAACATATAAGATTAGTTTTTTCTTAGATGTCAAATTTGAGAACACTTTATATTTATGTCACAAAGTACCATTTTTAGATAGTTATGTATCAGAGAATGAGCTCTTTGGGTACAGACTTTTTTTATTATTTCTTATTGATTTATCAATAATAAGTCTATCAAAGTAACACTGATTTTTTACTAATATGTGTGTCTATAATTCAGATACTGAGGCTCATACTTCCTCAGATGCATTCCTTCACACCACAATCACAACCAAGTTATCCATGATCTTTACTGTAGTTCATTACACCTTATCCCACCTTTTTCTTCCCCCTGCTGCTCACCATCTTGGAGCCTCAATTTCACAATCATACTTTTTTTAAAAGATGTATTTATTTATTCATACAGAACTGGGGTACAGGCCAGAGGTGCATGGGCGGTGAAAGGATTCACCAGAGACAGAGTGGGGAGCAGAACAGGCTGACTGACAAAGTACACTGCTGAGGGAAGCAGCGGGCAGGTCAGGAGAGGTCTGCAGTGCCATGTGGATCACCTCCAGTTGGAGATGGAACTCATGCGGAAGTGGCTTTCATGTCTTAGTGCTGTGCTTTTAACCCTCTGTGCCACCAGGGAGGGTCCACACAATTATATTTTTAAGTTTTTTTATTTGATTTTGCTTGATTTCTTGTTTTGTTTCTCCATATACACATAGGAATGAAACCAAATGTGGTATCTGTCTTTCTCTTTCTGACTTATTTTCATTTAACATTATCCTATCTATTTCTATCTATGTTGTCTCAAATGGAAAGAATCCATCTTTTTATATTGGATTAATACTGTATTATGTATCTATGACTAAGTGTTCTTGCTCACTTAATTATTTCAACGACTTGGCTATTGCAAAGATGGCTGTAATGAACATGGGACTGCATACATTGTTTCATGTTATTTATTTATTTATTTTTCATTTTTGGGTAGATGCCTACCTAGGAATACAATTGATCTATCATATGGTAGTTCTATTTTTAATATTATGAAGTATCTCTCTAGTGTTTTTCATAGGAGTATGTTGAGACTATATCCCTACTATATTTCTCACTGTTATTCCATTTTCACCAACACTTGTTCCAGACCAATTTTACTGATGTGAGGTGATAGCTCATTGAAGTTGATATTTTCATTTCCCTGATAAGTTATTATGAGAATTTTTTCATGTGCCTATCAGTCATTAAAATGAAATCTTTCTTGAACCCTCCCTGGTGGTACACCAGTTTAAAACACAGCACTACGAAGCTAAATCCACTTCAGCATGAGTTTGATCCCTCCCTGGAGGTGACCCACATGGCGTGGCAGACCTCTCCTGACCCGCTCGCTGCTCCTCTCAGCAGTGTCCTTAGTCTGTCAGCCTGCTCTGCTCCCCACTCTGTCTCTGGTGAATCCTCGCACTACCCCTGCAACTCTGGCCTGTACCCCAGTTCTGTATGCATAAATACATAAATCTTAAAAAAATGAAACCTTTTTTTAATTGTAGTTTTACACAATTAGATAACATCAATGATAACATTGACTATTACAGACTATATCATGAGCATTTATAAAACACAGATAATCATCTTTTTCTGTCATGGAAAAATATGGCATCTGAATATAGGGTTTTGAAGTAAGTTAAAATACATTAAAATGAAATATGTAAAAAATCCTGCACTAATTATAGCTTATAATTTTAAGTCAGTTTGCGTAGTGAAATAAAATAATAAATGCGTAAGGCTGTATTTTTTTAAAAGTTTATATTTCTGAAGCCAAATTAATCCTCAAATAAGCTTAGCCAATGAATTCCATAATAGATGGTCATATCAATGCAGTGGAATCATCTGTATGATGCAACACCCATTTATAGTATTGTAAAATCTCTTTTTCAAACAAACAAACAAACAAACAAGGACATAGAGGATAAAACCTCAAAAATAATAAATTCTGTAATGACAAACCCATAGCCATTATCATAATGGTGAAACATGAAAAATCTTCCTCTAAGATCAAGGACAAGATAAGGGTGTTCACTTTCACTCTTGTAGCTAAACCTATTTGTGGAAGTCCTAGCTACCACTCTTATTTAAGAGAAAGGAAGAGTGCACTGGACTGTGGTGATGGCACATAGGTGAATTGATGGTGGGAAACCCATGGGGATTATAACTGAGATGGAAAAATGCACAAAATGAAAAATGATGTAAAAAATAAAAAAATTTAATTAAAAAAATATGTAAAAGGAATCCACATTGGGAAAGCAGCCATAAAGCTATCATTATTTGCAGGTGACATGATAATAAACACAGGCACCCTATTGGCTCCATTAACAAGAACAATGACAAATTAAAAACAATAAATCAGTACAATTAAGGAAAGCTATACTACAAAATAGCATATAATATAAATATATAAATATCAGTTGCTTTTCTATAAGCAAATATTTAAATTATTTAAATATAAAAAATATTTAAAGAGAAAGACATTTGGAAAAATACCATCTATAATTGTGTCAAAAAATTTAAAATTAGCAATAAATTTAGCAAAAATGTGAAAAAGTGTAGAGCAGGTAGACTTTATTAAAAGAAGAAATAAGAAACATACACACAGAATGAAAAGGTGTTCCCTGCTAGTGGAATTGAAGTATCAATCAACATTGCATTCTGTTACACACACACACACACACTCACACACATACACATACATATATAGTGTGTGCATATATGTATGTATATATGTGTCTGTGTGTGTGTGTGTGTATATATATATATATATATAGTTTTAGTCCAGACTAATTTGACATTCTAACCAGTGGGCTATTGTGTGTGTGTGTGTGTGTGTGTGTGTGTTTTCTTCCATAGGTGCTCCAAGTGATCAAAGCAGTGGGACCTCCTCTCCTCTTTGTGACAGTGGTTTACATCTCAACTATCATCCCAACAACACAGTAAGCTGCTTTGTCATAGTCTACATTAAGCAAAAAACAGCAAAATGACATCCCAAGAAGATTTTATTTATAATATGTGGTGACAATTATTGAATATGATTTATCTGATAGATCTGAGATCCTTGGTTGCAACATCATTTAGGTATTATGATAAGATAGGAGAAATATTAATTAGAACAAATTTTGAAAGTGATTTTTCCTTTCAGTTTATATTAATCCCCTTGCAAACCAAACAAACTTAGTCACTTTATTACTGTGTCTGTAGCTTAAATTTCTAAATGATTAGACATAATTTTTATCATTTTTCCTAAAATTGTATAGCTTATATTAATACTATCATTGGATAAAATGTTTTAGCAATTCACACATAACAGGAATTAACTAATTCTAATGTGTTAAACTATAATGGTTGATACAGGGTATTAGAAAATATATACATTTAATAATTGATAAAATTGACATTGCATTTTAAGTACATTTAAAAAATTTATTTTTTTTTATTTTCTATGTAGTTTGAACTAAACAGATTCCTTTTAGAACTACTTTTGAAATGCTCTATTTCACCCTTCAAAACTTTCATATACTCCAAAGAGAAAATAATTCTCTTTGATTATACATAATACTAACAATTTTATCCTCTGCTCACAAACACAAAGTGTAGCAGAGTGGATTTTAAGAATTTTATTTTTCTATTTCACATATTCAGTTCTACAAAACATAGGTTGTTCTTCTGGTTTTTATGATTAATCTTCATCTGAAATCCTTGACCTAATTGTGACATTTTACTTCAAAGTATTACTTTTGAACATCTTTAGCATCATTATTTTTTAATGGCCTTTGTTGTACCTAAATCTGCAAGTGTTATTTCTTAACTGAGTGGTTTATGCACCCAAGTTGTTGCTTTCTTTCTTTTTTTTTTCTTTTCTTTTCTTTTTTTTTTAACTTTATCTCTGTTTTTCTCCTAAAAGAACCCTCAGCAAGACCAAAGCATAAAATAGCACACTTATGTGTACTTCATCTTTTCTTCTTTTACATTTGTTACTGGCTAAACAATTGTTATATAATAGATATTTTTCTAAAATGCTTATCTGTAGATATGACAATATCTGTGTGACATTTAATTCCTAATGAGAAACTATTACAGCGCAGGCAGAGGGGCATGAATGAACCCCCAAACCTGCCCGCTCTGAAAAGGTTCTGCCATCTCCCGCATCAAGACAAGACATATAAGACCTTTAATAGAAAGGAACTTTAATACAATTTGTGTGCAATACAGAAAAGACAAAGAATATAGTTTCTAAATCAGACATCCAAAATTACCCATCCCCATCGTGAGTAAAATTCTACCCAAAAAGGATTGGTCCAAAGCAAGGCCTGAAGGCCCACCAATAGAAAAGGGTCAGAAATGGCCACACAAGTCTGGGAGAAAAAGAGCAACATCAACATCAAGATAAACACTGTCATAGTTAACCTCCCAATGGGTCTCTCACCCATATCTATTTCAACTAGTCCAGGACCAGAAGAAGCACAGTTTCTTCACATATGTCTCTGCTCCATGTGCCTCCCTCAGGTCACCTCTGGCTCTCCATCCTGCTTCCTTCCTCCTCATTCTCCTCTCCAGATTCTTCCTCTCACCTCTCAGCTCCACCGTCTTTCTGAGTAGAACAGGGAACCTGGAACCTCCCCTTTTCCTGGGGGCCACCCTGTTTCAAAACTGTATGTGTGGTGTGTTCTCTTTAGCTCCTTTCTTAATTCTACACAATTCTTACAACTAGATCTTTACATCTTTAATAGCCACTTTGCTCACATTCTTTTTCAATGTAGATGCTTTTGATAATTTTGACACCCTTTCCTATTTACTGTCCGGGTGCTCTTGGTCCCAATTGCTGTGGAATGTTGGCTGTCCCAAATCTTGCTTACCAATCATGTAAGGAAACTCTTACCAAGTAATGGGGGCTTTCCAGCCCTTACCTTGCTGTGACTCCAGAGACATAGTGATAGGGGTAGAAAGTCAGGCCCTGCAGGTCTTGGGCAGTGGACATAAAAGTGTATCTTGAGAAGCTCACATTTCTTGTTTTTTTTTTTTTTTTTTTTGGTTTTTTGTTTGTTTTTTTTAATTAAGATTTATTTATTTGTACATACAGAACTGGGGTACAGGACAGAGGCTCAGGATCGGTGAGAGGATTCACCAGAGACAGAGTGGGGAGTAGAACAGGCAGATGGATGAAGTATACTGCTGAGGGGAGCAGCGGGTGGGCCAGGAGAGGTCTGCTACGCCATGTGGTCACCTCCCGGGCAGGCGGGAATCGAACTCATTCAGAAATGGCTTTAGCTTCTCAGTGCAGTGCTTTAACCCGCTGCACCACCAGGGAGGGCCTAGAGAAGCTCACATTTCTGACCAGGTTGCACCCCTCTTCTTCCACTGCTTTCCTCATCTCTCACCTATTCTTCCTGAGGAATTCTCCACATGCTCTCTCTCAGCACTGCTCTTAAGACAGGAACAAAGAAATATTTTTCCTCAGAGTGGGAGAAAACTGCTAGGCAATAGTTATTCTACTTTTTGCGTCCAAACTCTTGGTCTCCTCTATAATAATGACAAATAGAAAAGTCAACATAGAAGCTCTGTGAATAAACAGTCATTCTAGGGATCTCCCTGGTCGCTCAGTGGTTAAATAAACAGCACTATCAAGTTATCCCCAGCTAACCCACATGGCTTAGCACCTCTCCTACCTCACCCTCTGTTCCATTCAGTAGTGAACTTCAGTAGATCTACCTGTTCTGCTCCCCACTCTCTCTGGTATTCTCAACTCCCCATAATTCTGGCTTATTTTCCACTACCTGCATACATAAATACATGTTTTTTTTTAAATAATTCTAATTTTTTTTTTACTCATTGGCATATACAAAACTATTTCTAGATTTTTAAATGAATTAAAACTATATTTGCTTGAAAAGTAACTTTTTTTTTTTTAAGATCTATTTGTGCATACAGAACTGGGGTACAGGCCAGAGGCTCAGGGGTGGCAAGAGGACTCACCAGAGACAGAGAATGTGTATTAGTATTCTACTATCAGGGAACAAATGGTTTCCATATATTTTTAACATCTGACTTAATCGAACACAACAAACTGAGAGATTAAAGAACATTTGCTTTAACTCCCACAAAAGAATTAGGTCTATTACATTATGCACCTGCCCAATGCTTTTATTTATTTATTTTTTTCTCCAGTATCTTTAGGAGATATTTACAGGAGTTAAATGTGGGGCATTTGTATTTGCAAAGTTAATTTACAACAGTCAAACATATATTTTCTCCTGACTCACCAATAAAAGGAAATATTGGGCAGTGGGAACTCTGAAGAAATTGTACATTATTAAACATAATTTTCTCAGCATGTGTGCTTATTTTAGATATTCTCCAATGAGAAACATTCTGTTCTACAGTCTGTCTAAAAATCCTCAACCCTGTCCTGAGTCTAGATAGCTCTGTATTTTATTCTAATTAATGGATCTAGGAAACAAATTTCAAAACTCCCTAGTATATGCCAAGGAAAATTCTTTGTGGGAAAATGTCCTGTAGTGTGTTAACATAACCTGCTATATAGCTTTCTTTGTGGGAGAACACCTTGTAATATGTTAACCTACTATATGAACATACAATCTAGATCTTCTAGAACTTTGAGGTAACCCATTTTAGGGTTTACAAGAGTCATAAAGTTTGCCAGTATAATGAGAGGAAAGGGATTTTACTTTTTCTCACCAGGAGATTTAAATCAGATAATCAGTTAAACAGATTCTGAGAAGCATTTTTCATGTCTATATGACTTTAATTAACATTTTATGCCAGGTATCTCACAAATATTAGATCAGCATTTTGTCCTTATGTCATCATACTTTAGTAAGATAATTGTTTTTCAGTTTATTGTGACAATAAGAAATTTTGCAATACATTTCCAAACTACATTACATCTTGAAGACTGTTAAAACAAACTCTGTAAATATTACTTGTCCCATAAAACTTGTAAAATTAACAAAGCCAACAACCTTTTTATTATTAAAGTATAATTGACATATAGTCTTATTTTAGTTGCAGGTAGGTAACATGTTACTAGGCATTTGTATACATTGCAGGAAACAATGTTATTGTTTGAAGAGTAGAGTTGTTGAAATACAGTTATGGTCCTAAAAATTATTGTTTTTAATTTATTTTATATACAATTAAAATCATACTGATGCTATTGTTAAAGTGTTAGAAATCCAATTTATATTCCACTTTAATGATTAGATAAGTAATATTAAAAATGCACACTGTAGTAAATCTGTAAAATGAAAGAAATTAAAAATAATAATTTCAACAGCTGAAGTCAAATAGTTCATATAATTTTCTAAGGAGGAAACATAAAATAAAGACATATTTGGAGGTATTATATTGAGATACTACTGGAAAATCATGTAAAACTATCACATGTATTTCTATAGTGACTAATTAATGAAATCTATACAATTTAACAGAAGAGACTCATACTTTTTCTTTATTTGTAACTATCACTGCTACTAGTATTCTACATTCTAAATGTTTTGTTATTTTATATTATCTATCCATTTTTTTTCATGAAACACAAAAAGGGGAGATTTTGTGCTTTTGAAAGATTTATTCTTTATCTATGCATAAAATAATTGATAAGCCAGAGATGTGGGGGGATGGCAGAAGTGACCAGAGACAGAGTGGGGAGAAGAGCAGGTGGAGCTACTGAAACACACTGCTGAGAGGAGTAACAGGTGAGACAGAAGAAATCTGCTGTTCATGTGAATCAGCTCCCCAGCTGGGGTTCAAATTCATACTGCAGTGGCTGGCAATAGCTTGATAGTGCTGAGATTTAACCCTGAGACACCAAAGAAACCCAATTTTTGTGATTTTAATGAAATATAAGGAAGTATATTTCAATATACTTGTCTAAAATTACATTGCAAAACTGTTAAATAAGCAAGACAAACTCTTTCCAACATCCTTACTGCTGATTATGAATATTAAGTGACATGTTATGGTAGATCTGTCAGCTGAAACATTAGGGCAACAGTTTGCATGCTTCTAACATGGCTTAGTTTTTTTCTTGTATAAGGATCTGTGTGATAGCCTCATCTTTGGAAATAGGAAATGATATTTAGACTACTAGAGCTTTAACATCTGTAATAACAAATATTTCCTCTAATATTGTCACTCAAAAAGTATTCATTATCTACATTCTTCAGGGAGGGATAGGGAAATAGTATCAAAAAGGGTGGGAAGAGCAAAAGGGACTATGTTGGTGGTACACAGGCTAATCGGTGGTGGGAATTCATGGGGACTATAACTGAGGTTGAAAAGCATACATTTTACAAAAATGAAAAATACTTATAAAATAAAAATAATTATAAACTCTCCATAATAAAAATAAGTCAATGTCAGCAGGTCCCTCATCTAACTGAGCCTTAGTGCTTTATAACCCATGCCAACTTAAATATCAACATATACTAATGCTGGGAAGCATTATTTCATATACTAGTGTCAGGAAGAAAATTCTTTATGTCAATTCTGATATAAAGACAACATGAATCAACCTCAGGCAGAAAACTCAAATCTTATTCAAAGGAATGTATTTTCTGTATATAATAATAGAAATAATAACAGAAAACATCACCTGAATCTTAAAATCCTTATAATTTTAAACCAGCAGTTCACAAATGTGATACTAAAATAATGTAAGAAAATTCAAACATTTTATAAATACAAAGTTAAAACAAGGCATATTTCCTTTATTTTTCAAAAGCTATTTTATAAGAATATTTTACTCAAACATATTTACAAGAAACTACAATTTATTTCTATTACTAGTACAACAAAATCTGTAGTCAATCTCTCCCATTTTCAAATGAATTATGTCTCAATTTCAATTTTTATAGTTCCTTCTTACAGTGCATATTCTTAGTCTCAATGAGTCATTCACATTTTTTGTAAAAATCAATTCAGAGAGAAGTTAAGAATACAATTTCCTTGTCAGTGTCAATTCTGTTTCTTCTGGTATTATATTATTTAGGTAGAAAAAAAAATTCTAAACACGTTACACAGAAAAGAAAAGAAAAAAAAACTCACAATTGTGAATATCTGCATTATTTTAGGACACATTATCATGTTCTTCATGGCCAACATCACCAGGTCTGAGGTGGGAAAAGCGATGGTGTGATCTTCGGCTGATCCCTCTGCTTCATTCACGCTTCTCTCAGTATGTGCCTGGGACGGATTTGAGTCGGTGAGTTCATGTTAGTGAGCTCTAGTTTCTTGATGATTGCAAAGAGATCTATGGTCAAATGTTTAACATTACCTCCCCCCCCCTTTTTTTTTTCTTTTCCCCTAACACATTTATTATAGTAAGAGAACTACAGAAGCATAGTATGATACAACAAAACATTTTTGAATCTGGAAAAGTATATGATGCTCTGGCTCTAGTACTAACTCATTGCAATGGATTCAGTTTGTTTAATGTCTCCCTGGATCAGCTTTAATATGTTATTATTGCCTTTTTTTTTAGGATGATTATATAGTTCATTTAAATATCAAAATATTCATGCAATTTATAATATTTTCACTTTATCTTTTAAAGTGAGTGTTAGAATACTAATGATTTTGTTTTCATTCTTTGAATTTCATTTTTCTCTTCTTGGTCAGTTATGCTGGGGACTTTTAAATTTAATTTATCAACTATATACAAGGAAATATTTACTGGGTTCATTGAAGCCCTTCATTATATGTGTTATTATAAGTTGTGAATTTTTACTTATTTCTTCCTCCAATCCCTTAAATTATTTGGCTTTATTTATTTTTCTTATGGAAATTCTAGGAACACAAACACTTTTCTACAAGAAAAAAAAAAACATAGTATTTTGGGTTTTACAGCTGTCTCTGATGCTACTATTCAGCTTTGCTGTAGTATCATGAAAACAGCCTTAGACCAAATATAACCAATTGAAAATGTTGGTTCTAATAAAATGAATTTATAAAAACAGGTGGCAAGCTAGACTTGGTTCTTAGGTCATAGTTTCCAGACCTTGTTTAAATACTAATTTTTCAAATTTTCTTAATCTATTTCAGAGTCATACATTCTCATTCTGATTCTTCTTTAGGTATACCTAGACATTTTATAATTTGCTCTTGGCTTATTATAATCTATACTATAATCAGGTTGTATATTATTTTGAGGAGTTGTTGTAGGTGCTATAGTATGCATGTCTTATCAATGTATTTATTATTAGTGATTTGCCACTTGAATGAAATTTATAAACATTCTATCTGTTTAGATTCCATGAAGTGGGGAGCAGAACAGGATGACTGACAAATTACACTGCTAAGAGGAGCAGCAGGCGGGTCAGGAGAGGTCTGCTGTGCCGAGTAGATCAGCTCCGGGACAGGCGGGCATTGAACTCGTGCTGAAGTGGCTTTAGCTTCTTACTGCTGTGCTTTAACTTGTTGCACCACCAGGGTGGGCCGAGACTTTTAAGAGTATTTATTTAGAAAATAATGGGGGGAAAGTTGAACCAGTGAATATACAACATATGAAATAGAAACAAAGTAAATAGATGAAGAAAAAAATAAGATATAAGAAAATAGCTGATTATGTCAACTACAGAAATAAAATACTGAAAAGACAGAGAAACACTATTTATTATTGGATGGTTATGAGTACAATATTTCAAGAGAATTTGGATTGAAAAATACACTGTTAAAAATATTGACAGTAAAGAAAAGAAAAACTACGTGTGAGTATATTATTATGGAAAAACCTACCATCTCTTCTTATATGCCTCTCATTTACTTTTACAAGAAGCACTATTTTTGATGTTTCTACTCACTAAATGTGTGGGGTTTTATTCCACACCAAGCAATTTGACAATACTAGAGTGTTTTCATTGTCCTTCCTCATCTAGTCAGACCAAATTTTCAAGTATTTGACCCTACCCTCTCCTTCATATCCCATATTCCATTATAAAAAGACATAACATGCTTATTTTACTTACTGATAATATTATATTTTGCTGGTTTTACAGCCCTTATAACAAGCCTTCCCTGTTCACACAGACCTAGCAGCTAGGAGTCTTCTATGTATGGTTCAGCAGCTATAGTTCCCCTGCAAATGTTAAGCTCCTGATAAGACATACAAATACCTCTTAATGGGAGCCTAACTTATATTTTTTAAGATTTTATTTATTTATGCATATAAAACTGGGGGCAGGCTAGAAGTGGAGAAAGGATTCACCAGAGACAGAATGGGGAGCAGAACCGACAGATTGATAAAATACACAGCTGAAGGGTTGAGTGGAGCATTAGAAGGGACAGGGTAGGCCACACCATGTGGGTCCCCTCCCTCGCAGGGGATCGATCTCCTGTTGAAGCAGCTGGCTAGCTTCTAGTGCAGTGCTTTAACCCAGTGTGTCACCAGGTAGGGCCTGGGAATGTACCTTATTTGCACTGCATTTCTGTGGGCCTCCTCATGAAAATGGTGGCCCAGACTCTCCAAACTTTTTTATTTCAGTCTCTGTAAATAATCCTTTTTATTTTGAATGTTTTCACACTTGGCCTTCTCCTATTCTTCCCTCACCAATTTAATATCTTCCTACATGTGAAATAAAATCAATAGTGAATTAAACATAAATCATCAACTATAATAAATCATAAATGTATGTATAGTTTTACATATGCATACATTATATTGAAAAATATGCACAAGTTTTGTAGTAGAAAGCATATTTTCATACAAAAAAAGTTGAAATTTTAATTTTAGAAGATACATCTATTTTGAAATTCAGCAACACTTCAGAGTAAATTATATTGTCAGATCTGATCAGAAATCCTTAGAATATATAAATGTTTTTAATCATAATACTAAAAAACAAATCAGCATTCATAGCTTCAGTTATCTAGGGAATCTTTTTCAGCAAATACATGTGTATTTTATGTGATCAAGAGGGGAGAGGGGTTGGGAGAAGTATAAGAAAAAGAGGGAAGAAAGCATAATCAACTCTGGTAGTGAAATATGGGTGATTTGATGGGGGTGTAATAGGTGTTATTATTCTCATGGAGGCATCATATATTACCTCAACTAAAATAAACTAAATAAAGTACATAAAATCATTCATACTGAAATTAGCTAAAAGTAAATAATAATTTAATATAGGCATTCATAATATGTTAAAAGTTTATTTATACATATAATTGATGTTAAAAGTTTAATGTCTCACAACATTAAAAAATCAGAAAAGATCCAACCAAAAGATGAAACAAAATGTTCCCACCAGTTACTTCATAAATACATATTAAATCTACAATATTACTCTCATTTTTTTTTTCAGGGGAAGTTTAGTGACAAATAAGTAAACTAATTTGCCAAAAGTCTTATTTATTCACTAATAAAGGAAGAAATATGACCTTGACTCTAATCTTTATGATCTGTTTTACAAAGGGTCATATGCACGCCATCAGTCTGTTCAAACAGTTCACTTATATTCACGAACAGACTTCCTTCAATTTAAACTGAAAAGTTAGAAACAAGGTAATATATAATATGTGTATATATATATATATATATATACATATATACATACATATATATATACATATATATATGTATATATATTTCTTATGACTTACTTTGGCTAGCAAAATCCTTTCTAGTTCTATACATGTTGCCACAAATGTCTATTTTGATTGCTGAGTAATAATCCATTGTATAAATTTCCCACGCATTTTTACTTCAGTCATTTATTTTGGAGAATTTGGTTTGTCTCCATATCTTGGCTATTATATATAGTGCTGCAAGAAACACAGGACTGCAGCTTTTTTTCAAATTATAGTTTTTACCCTTTGGGTATTTCCCAATCAGTGGAACCAGTGCATTACATAGTAGATTCATTTTACTGTTCTGAGGAAACTCCACATAGCTTTTCATAGTGTCTGGATCAGTTAAATTCCCACCAGGATCCTCAGAGGGTTTCTTTATTGTCATTTCCTCTCTAGCATTTGCTATTTCCAAGTTTCTTTAATGTGGGCCACTCACTGGTGTAAAGTGGTATATCATGATTTTGATTTGCATTTCACTAATAATGAACGGTGTTGAACATTTTTCATGTGCCTGTTAGCCGCTTGCATTTCTTCTTTGTAAAAATATATTATTTTTATTATCCTGCTTATTTTTTATTGGACTTCTTGCATTGTTTTTTATGGAGCTGTCTAAACTCAAATGTTATCAAAATGGCCATTCTACATAAAACAATTAATAGATTCAGCACAATGCCAATACAACTATGAATGGCACTCTTCAAGAAAATAGAACAAATCTTTTAAAATTAATTTGGAATCAGAACCCTCCCTCGTGGCAAATCAGGTAAAGCACAGCACTAGGAAGCTAAAGCCACTCCAGCATGAGTTCAATCCCCCACCCCAGAGCGCTTAGCGTACCTTCCTCACCCACAGTGTACTTCATCAGTTGGCCTGTTCTGCTCCCTGCTCTGTCTCTGGTGAAACCTCTCAGCATTCCTGCATATGGAAATGATTACTATTTTTTTTTTAAATGTAGTATTGCATGCACTATAAAAAAAAAAATTGGAATCACAAGAAAACCCAAAACGAAAGCTCTCCTGACTAAAAGAGGAAGAATGGAAACATTCATTCCCAGGACTCAAACAATATTGAAAAGTTATTATAGTAAAAACAGAATGGCATTGGAACAAAACGGACACAAAGACCAATGGAAATGAATTGAAAGTCTATAAATAAAACCGAACATATAAGTCAACTAATTTATTAAAAAGGAGCAAGGAATATACACTGGAACAAGGAATGTCTCTTTAATAAATTGTGTTGAGAAAACTGTACTACAACATGCCAAATAATTAACCTAAATTACTATCTCACACCATAAAAAAAAAAAAACCTCAAAATTGATGAAAGACTTTAATATAGACCTGACACCATACAATATATAAAATAAAACAGGAAAAATATTCCATGACATAACCTCAGAGACACCTTTCAGAATTCTTCTCCAGAAGTAAGCAAAACAAACAAAAAAAGATAAAAAGCTGGGACTGGCCCTCCCTGGTGGGGCTGCATGTTAAAGCACAGCACTAAGACACTAAAGCCACTTCCGCATGAGTTCAATCTCTGCCTGCCCAGGAGGAGACCACATGGCGCGGCAGACCTCTCCCGACCGCCTGCTGCTCCCCTCAGCAGTGTACTTTGTTGATCTGCCTGTTCTTCTCTGTGGTCTGTCTCTGGTGAATCCGCTCACCCTCCACATCTCTGGCCTGTACCCCAGTTCTGTATAAATAAATAAATAAATCTTTAAAAAAATGCTGGAACTACATTAAACTAACCATCTTCTGTACAGCTGAATAGATAGTAATCAAAATGAAGAGACATTCAGTTGAATGGGAGATAATATTTCATGACATAGAGTGGATAAGGGACTACTAGCGTAGGTAAACATTATATCAGTTTGAAGTACCACAGAGTTTCTTAAAATTTAGAAAATGAAAATGTAGAGAAACTTTGACATTTAAAATCTAAAGTGGAAATAATAGCTATTTCACAAAAATTATTTCTGCAGTTTACAATATTTAGATACACTAAAGTTTACCTATTATTTTGATAACCAATTCCTCATATTTTTCAATGTGTTTTCTATTTACAATGGAATAAAAAAATATTGTAGGTCATAAAGTGCAGATCCTCTTAAAGATCTTTTAAGATAAAAAGTTTCTATCAATCCAGGTCTAAATTTTCATGACCTAATCTTATGCAAATGGTGGGTATTTACATAGCAATCAAACTTTTCCTTAAGTGCAGTGACTAATCTGCACATTTTTTTTATTGATTCTTTACTCCTGTTTTTGTTAGAAAAAGTTAAAAAGATACCCCATTAATTGTTTACATAGAATTTAAAGATGCTCTCTAAAACTTTAATGATTTGATTTTCCCATTTTATTACCTTCTGCATCACTGTTACCTGTTCAACTTAATGGAAAGGAATAAACTACACAAGGAATGTTTGTTTGGAATAATGGAATAATGTAATGTGTTTGAGTTTGTAAGAAGAAAAAAAAATGCACTGCCTGAAAATAACTTTCCATAACTTAATTTGTTTTAATTTTTATATTCATCAGTAAGACATTTTACTTTTTGTATTTTGTTTATTCACAATGTAGAGTTCTCCTCTCAAATGTTTCCATAGTCTTCCCACCACTCAAGTATTCTACAGTTATGTAACATTATTTTAAATAGTAAGATATTTTAAATTCTTAAGCTCTACTACTGATGGAAAATCACCATTGGCAGTCTGATATTTTAGCTGATTAAAGTTAATACACTTAGAACAAATTTGTAAACTTTGTAATTGTGCATATGATACAGTCCTTATAGAGATAAAATCTGAGTTACTAATCTTCTATAATCCTAGGCTTATCTGTTTATATATATATGTGTGTGTATAAATAAACAGATAAGCCTAGTATTATAGAAGATTATATAAAGATTATATATATATGGGGCCCTCCCTGGTGGTGCAGCAGGTTAAAGTGCAGCACTGCAAGGGGGCCACAGCCCCTTCAGTATGAGCTCAATCCGCTACCCCGGAGGTGATCTACATGGTGCAGCAGACCTCCTCTGGCCTTCCTGCTGCTCCCCTCAGCAATGTGCATCATAGATCTGCCTGTTCTACTCCTTGCTCTGGTGAGTGATTCTTATCACTGCCCCTGCACCTCTGGCCTGTACCCTAGTTCTGCATGCATAAATAACTCAATATTAAAAAAGAAAATAAAAATATAAACATGGTTTCATGCATATTCAGAATATAGAGAAACTAAGCAAAGGTCAAGAAAATGGCACAACTATCAAACTGACCATAGATCTGAGGCATGCAGCAAGGGAGTAGGAATCAAATTATAGGAGGAGAGGACAGAAGGGAATCTGGTAACAGTTCATAGGTGATCTGGCAAAGGGAGAATATGTGGACTACATTTATGGAAAGAAATCAAATACTGTACAAAAAGGAACAATGATGTAAAAAAGCTAAAATAATTAATGATATACTAAGTTCACATTTAATTTTTTCATTTGTGACTAAATGAATGGAACTGGTGGGGATTATGCTAAATGTAATTATTTGGAAGAAGAAAAGCAAGTACTAAATGATCTCTCTCATATATGAAATATAAAGGAACAATGTACAAAAAAAAAAAAAACATAAAATTAAGCAAACCAAACCCTCGAAATGGAACTGCAGAATTAAGTCTACCAAAAATTACAAAAATTTATGGTAGAGAATAGGGGCTTAATGATGGAGGGTGCCCCATGGACTATGTCAGTGGGTTATAGGTATTTTGTTGATGAACATAGTGTGGTGTCATGCCTTAGAAAAGGTGTGCATCTCTAACTTTAAATATCTCTAAACATTATATGGTATAGTAAACCAATGCTGTTGCAATGAAAAACAGTAAGATTAAAAATAAATAAATAAATAAAAATAAAAGCAGGGCCTATCCTGGTGGCACAGAGGGTTAAAGCACTGCACTAAGAAGCTAAAGCCAGTTCAAAATGAGTTCCATCCCCGCCTGCCCCAGAAGTGATCCACATGGTGCAGCAGACCTCTCCTACCAGCACACTACTCCCCTCAGCAATATACATCATCAGTCTCTCTGTTTTGTTCCCCACTCTTTCACTGGTAAATCCTCTCACAGCCCCTGTACCTCGGGTCTGTACCCCAGCTCTGTATGCATAAATAAATAAATCTTAAAAAAAATCAGATGTATTCACAAAGAAAAATAAGCAAATAACAATGTGAAGCTATATGCATATGTTTGGAAAGAATAAATTTCAACAGATACTATTACAAGTTGCAAATAATTAAATAACATGGGTTTTGATTTAATTTATTCTGATATTATAATAGGCAGAATGCTTTTCAAGTCATTGCGGTGGATGGAGTCTGCAGTGGGATTATTCAATGCCTCTCTGCTGAAGACTGCATTGATTGGCTTCAAGCAATAGCAACTAATATTTCAAATCTGACAAAGCACAATGTAAGTAATGCTCCTTGGTGTGTCTGGCCATTGAGTTTCATATGGGACATGTACAGTTTTGCATTAACTGCAAAACTAAGATTGAGACACTTTAATCTATCATGAAAGTTATTTTGGATTAAATACTTTAAGATAATTTTAACACATCTGTAAGAACAAGGATATTCTCACAAATACACTCTATTTACTAGCATTATAGGCGTTTACATTAATTAATGAATTAATATAGATGTAGCATGTACTAACTAAATATAAATATGTGCAAATATTTGCACTAAAATAATGTTGAATTTCAGGAGAGCATTATTGATCTTAGAATTTGGTGGAGCATATTTAAAGGATAGGAGAGGAGTTGAGGGGATCACCGTGGAGTCTGAAGCTCTTTCCCAGTGGCACTGCCACAGGAACAATGGAAAGGCCTCCCATTGCCTTGCTAGTTGCTTTGATATGTTCAATTTCGTTTGTGATTGCTAACAAAAGTGTTCATTGTAATACCTGTATTAAAGCTGACAATATGTATACACATAGGATAAAACCCGTGTCTTTTGTACTGCTGTTGTTTATCAGAAATTCCTTTTGGGAAACCTAAGTGTTTTTCTTGTCAAAAAGAAATCATGCAGGCGTGTGTCTAGCATCTTTAGATAGATTGGGGCGAGTATCCTCCCCACCTGGATAATTTCCTGAAACCAGAGAAATCCAGACTTAATTTTTTGTTTTGTTTTGTTTTAGACATCCCATGCTTGTAGAGAGGTCAATGCTTTGCATTTAAGAGTATATATATATATATATATGATACGTGCTAAATGAAATGGTTAATGAGAGCTTAAAAAAATACCAACACTTAACAATTTAAAAAGCAGGGAAGAATAAGTGTCTCTATCCTTTTGAAACATAAAGGAGGATAAGCCAAAACTATTGCTTATTTTTAAATATCAAATATCTGTGGTAAGTGCTTACCCTGAAACTTCTGAAAACAGGTAACTATATCCATGTATGTTAGCATCTGGGAGGTCCATACTCTTTTCTGATAGTGTTGTAGCACTGTAATAAAAGTTATCTAGCTGTTATTTCATTTCCTTGCTATTATATTCTAATCAGGAGACCTTTTGATTATGTAATCAGTTTTCATATAAAAGCAATATGTAGTGTTAAATAATTTTTCTTGTAGTTTGTGTAAAAATTTATTTGACCAAAATGTAGAAAAAGTGATACTATTCCATATGATACAGTTGCAAGAATATAAATGAAAGTGTAGGTTTTATTAATTTGCTTGTGTGTTTCTTAGGTAGTGTGATGCTTAATAAATAGGTGTAAGGGCACAGAGGATTCAAGTAAGCTAGAAGCATGGTGATTTTTAGTCAGTTGTAAACTTGAGTTGGCCCCCACACTACTGGGGAATGTGGAATGTTTCAGTGTTGAGGTGTTAACTGATGAAGCAGAAATATAACACAGCCAGAGTGTGCACCCCTGTCTACAAATTACTCTATATCCAGTTTAGTAAGGAGTTTCTTGATCATTTATTAACTTAGTCCTGTAGAAGGAATTAAATCCCTATGTAAATCTCCAGTTTGCTATACTCTGCTGCCAGAGAGGCCCCTGCTGGCCAATATATATTAATAGGAAAGACTCTTGTTCATTACCACTAACTGGCAGTCTTTTGACATCACTTCCCTAAATAGGACTGCATTCTACCATATTTTTTCCTGTTGAGTGGTTGGCACTAGAGCAGACAAGCATGGGTCATTATTGTAATAAAATACCTGCTTCTTTAGAATGAAAAAAAAAGTAGACACTCATTAGACACAATAACAATAGCAAGTTAAAGTTATACCTACTGCCCTGAATATACAATGGATGCTTTCTTTTAGATAGTTAATACAGTTGATAATTTTAATGAAAGAAATGACACTGATTATAAGTAACTAGAAAGAAGTTACTTTAGCATTATCAGAGTTTGGTCTAGTTTTCTTACTGTTTTGTGCATATTAGGAAGAAGTACAACTTCAAAACATTCCATTATTTAATCAAAGGGAACCATGATTGATGCTTTGGCAGAAATATTTTTAAAGCATGGACAAAGCAAATACTTTAGTCTCATCAGACTTTATGAATTCTAGCTTCTATGTTTACTAGTTTTGAGAGTTTGGTTTCATATTTCTGCTCAAACAAGCATCAAAGTTAAATGAAGGAGGGATTTGAAACATACTGACCTATAAATAATGTCACAACATTTTCATTTTTTTTCTCTCCAGTTGCATTCTAGATTCATTCCATAAACCAGGAATAAGGCTAGTATTATTATCTTTTTATGCATGATGCTGCACAACTTTGTTTAGTCAAGTAGCTTTTTAATATTCTTAAAGTAGTGTTTGGGTGACAGAATGTTGATGAATCTGAGTTTAAATAAATTAAATAAGTTAAAATCTGTTAATGATTAGACCATTAAGCAACTATGATGTAGCTAGCCGAAAAGCTATACTTCATCCCCCTCAAATTTAAAAAAGAGAGCAGGATTATGCTAGGTAAAGTAAACCAGAGGAGAAAGATGAGTATCTGTTGCTGTTCACTTATATGTGTAATATAGTGAAACCAAGCAAACAATCAAAGATAGTAATGAAACCAACCTTTGAAAGCTGACCATAATCTGAAGTAACCATAGAGGGAAAATATGGGAAGGTGGGTGGTATATGCGCAAAGGATTATGGTGGGAATGGTGGAGGACTATGGTAGCTACAGTGATTATAAATGAGGCTGGAAACCCTATGCTATCAAAATACTAACAATATACATAAAAATAAAAAAATCCAAGAGATAATACCCTCCCCGGTGATGCAGTGGGCTAAAGCACAGCACTGGGAAGCTGGACCCAGCTTTGCTTGAGTTTGCTCCTGCCCCGGAGGTGACCCACATGGCATGGCAGACCTCTTCTGTCTTGCCTGCTGTGCCCCTCAGCAGTGTACTTAGTCATTCTGCCTGTTCTGCTCCCCACTCTGTCTCTGGTGAATTCTCTCAGCGCCCCATGCCTCTGGCCTGTACCCCAGTTCTGTATGCATAAGTAAATGAGGTGAAGGAGAAAGATAAAAAAAAAAGTTCATTTACAATAGGGTTTAATAAACCCAATATTACTTGCCAATCTTTATCACAATAATAAAGTGATAAACAAAGGGAATATTATGCTACGTTTCCTGTAAGGTTACTGCTCATATAAATAAATCTCTTCTTCTGTTGTAAATTCTTTCATATCTAATTTATTCACACATTTCTTTATTGGAATGAAATGTGTTATATGAAATGTATGTGAAAGAGAGTAACTTTTCTCTCCTATATTTGTATCGTATGAGACAAATGGGAACAGCTGTGTATTAATGTGCATTAATGAAAAATACACATTGTTGATTTACATATGTACGTATAATATCACAATGAGACTGCATTAATTAGAGAGGGGGAGAGAAACCATAAGCAATGGTGGGATAATTGACTTTTATTTCTAAATGTCAAGGATTTTGATAGTGGTTTACTAGCTTTGTTTAATATTTGAGAAAGTACAAAAACTTCTGCTATTAATATACATATTTCTCTTCTCCACCATTATTATTTTGGCTTTTACTATATTTTACCACTTGTTGGTCACGCAAGGGCTGTGAGAGTTCCAAACACTTCACTGTTCAGGATAGGTAAGAAGTTGAAGAAAGATAAATATCACCATATCTACATCTCTCATCTTTTCTCAAGTGAATAGAAAATTTTCCAGAAACTTTTTAGTGAAATAATGCTTACTTCTTATTCTCTTGAACTCAGTACTATGTTAACCTCAAAGTGTTAGTCTCAACCTTTTCTTGCATATAGAATATAAGTGAGAAAAGAAAATTGTAAAAACTTCAGAGACAGGTAATTGACAATATTTACCTTATTGCTTGATATTAAAATATGGTAATCAGACAGAAAATATATATGGTTTGCAAATACCCCTGTGGTTTTTTTTTTTTTTTTTTTTGTGGATAGATTCCATCAAGATACACACAGACACTTTTAATCATCTGTTTCTTTCTACTCAGGAGGCATTGCACCCATCTATATTCTGTAGTTTTTTTTTTTTTTTAATAAAGATTTATTTATGTATGTATACAGAACTGGGATACAGGCCAGAGGTGCAGGAGCAGTGAAAGATTTCACCAGAGATAGAGCAGGTAGCAGAACAGGCAGACTGATGAAGTACACTGCTAAGGGGAGCAGCGGGCGAGACAGGAGAAGTCTTCTGTACCATGTGGTTCATCTCCCTGGCGAGGGATTTGAACTTGTGATGATGTGTCTGCCACCAGCTTCATAGTGTGGTGCTTTTAATCCATTGCACCTCCAGGGATGGATCCTATATTCTTTAGTCTTAAAGGAAAATTTAAAAATATATATTTGGAAACCATTTATTTAACCTATAGAGCTCTGCATTGTTCCATGGCAAGCACTTGTCAGTTCAGAGAAATGAAATGTTTTCCCATAAAAATGTTGGTTGTGAAAGGTTAAAGAAAAAACGTCTTATGTCTGCCAGATTGGAAAGACTCAACAAAGCTTGTAGGTGAATTGAAAGTCATGATAAAGCCTAGCCTAGAGGAGATTTACCAAAAATGAACTAAAAACTGTGATCAGAGGTTGCAGAGTGTGGTTTTGACAGGCATGGGTGTTGCTTACTCAGAAATTTTTTTTTCTTTTTTTTTTTTAAGCTTCTGATATTTCTGAGCCCTGAGATGTACTTCTTAGTGTTGTTTTCTTCATTGTTTTTCCTCATACACCAAAATATGAATGTCAGATATGCAGGCATCAAGTAAAAAATGAATTACAGAGAGTGAAATTTGACAATTGCAGAATCAGTAATTTACATTAGAAGAAAAACAAGGGCAAGTTGGAATATGATAGTATATGCATAATTTTGACTTTTTTTTTAAACTACTTTGACTTTTGGAGAACTACCAAAGTGAAAAAAAAAATTAAATACTGTCTGGTGA